CAATTGCAAAAATTAAAACGCAATTATGGTGAAGCAATAAAAATTTTAATTGAATTAGCTACACTTCAAACATCATTTGTTATACTTGATGATGTTATTAAAATAACTAATCGACGTGTTAATGCTATTGAACATGGTTTGTTTAATTTTAATCAAAATAAGAAAAAAAAAGACGTTTTATTTTTTTTTTTTAGTTATTATACCAAAAATAAGTCGAACAATAAATTATATTATATCAGAACTTGATGAAATGGAACGTGAAGAATTTTATCGGTAAAAATAATGAACAAAACTTGATTTGTTTTGTTTTTTTTTTTTTTTTAATATTGTTTATGAATTTTCTTTTCTTTTTTCTTTCGTTTATTTAGTCTTAAAAAAGTTCAAGAAAAGAAAAAACAAGCACGAGCTATTCAAGAAAAAAATCGAGTTAAATTACTTGAAACTGGTGTTATAACGGGCAAAGAAGAGGAAGCACCAAATATTTTAGATCAAGAGCATGATGAAGATGTTCTATTTTAAATTTCTTTTTTTTTTTTCTTGTCATTCCATTTCCTTTAACTTATTTCAATGATTCTATTTATTTTAAACATTGTCTGTATGTGATAAATTGCAATTATCGCCCTTTTTTTTTTCTTTTACGTGTAATTTTCCTTTGTCTATTATGTGTGTGTGTGTGTGTGTTTATTGGACAAAATAGAGATATTTATGCATTGAATCTATGAAAATAAAAATACATCATAGCATTTATTATAATGTATATCTTTATAGATGCCAGCTCCCATGTTTATGCGGGGCGCTGCTCCATGGCGTAATACACTTGCTTATCTTGAATCAGGAAAAATCATATTTCGTCCAATAGTACGAATATTTACTCTAAATTATACATTTGATAAACCAGACTCAGATGGTTTACGTCGTTTTATATTTTGGCATTTAGCACAAATTCAATATAAAAATCCAAATGTTCAATGTGTTCAATTTAAAAATACAACACCAACACCATTTGTATCATTTTATTTATCTCGTTCATCATCTGATGATATTGATAATGAAACAAGTTCAGATAATAATTATGAAATTGTTCATATGGATTGTTATAAAAAAACATCAAATGAAATTCATGATTCTATTCGACGTGTTATGGGTAAAAGTGATTTACAACAACGTATTGATTCGGAATTAACAGCACGATTAGAAAATCCAGCAAATTTTGGAAAAGATTGTGCACATTATTGTATGTGTTTAGTTTATGGACAAATGTCATGCCCAGGAAGAAAAGTATTACCAGAACATCTTCGGGGAAAATTTACAAGATATAAAGTCGATGAACTTGAAGATATACGAAAGAAAATTAGTGATGAAGATGCTTTAAAAGACTATTGGAAAAGACCATTTTAGATTAATAAAAAAAAAAAAAGTTATAGAATACTTCTATAAGAATGTATTGAAAACTAAAATTGTTAATTATAGGGATCAGAGAATAATTCAATTGGTTGAATCTATTGCACAAAGATGGAACCGGTAACGACCGTCAGATAACAAGCTGGCTCTACTTGCCGTAATGACATCTAATACAATATATCAATATTCAATCGTACAGTTGGTTTTTAATGGAAAGTTGCATATTGAACATTTTCAAAGAATCATTCTGATTTTCATAATATATGATATATAAATTAGTAATTTACATAAGTCCACTATAGAATAAAGTTTCAATATATGAACTAGTTAGTTACCAGTAGGTCGATATTTATGGATTAGACTGGTTCCATTTCTATTATTAATGAATGATAATATTGTGAAACATGATCTAAAAGGAGTATTGAAGTGTATAGAGTGGAAATTAGAATCTACTTCCCACCCTTTCCTCCCAGAGACTCTGATAGACATTGTTGATGTACCATCAAAAGCGGTATATAGAAAAACATCTCGTTTCTAATGTATGAATTACTTCCTTATTGCATTTCAGAAGGATTATGTAACAAGATGATGAAGGAATGTGTCTGAAAATGTAAAAAATAAAGCAATCTTCCTATGATTAGAAAAAGCATCTATGTTGTGTATCACATTTTAATCACACATAGATAGCGCTAATAACTTTTCTTAGATAAAAGTCAATGAATATTTTCATTTTTAATATTTATTATGATGATGTCTTGGTTTACTCCGAAATCAATCCCATTCGATGATATCTCAGTTTGCTTCTAATATTATTAGTTATAATGATTCATAATTATATTTAATATAGAAGAAAATAAATTATATATAATGAAAAAATTAAGTTGTCTGTTGTTATTTCTTCAAAAATCTTTTTACAGATTTAGAGGATTGAATTTCTAATTGTAAACCTTGATAGTTAAGTAAAAAAAGCATTACGATGTCTAGTTGAGAATTGCATGTTAATTGTTGTTCACTTTTCGTATTCAAATTATGTCTCCTGTCATTGCTAGCTGATAAATGTCATTTGGTCTAAGCTGAATTATTATAAGAGTTCTGTTCAAACAAAGAATTCAATCGAGGATGAATTCTTTAAATGAGTAATCATGAAAATAAACGAAGGCTTATGATGTCGTTGTTAATTAGATAAATTATGATCGAAGTGGAAAGAAGCCGAAAGAAGATGGGATCGAATCGAAAGCTGTTCGATCTCTTATTTAAATTCTACTAGTTAAGCTTCAGTTCAAAATCATTATGGTCATTTGATCTCACATGCACGTTGAAATTTTGGTTTCTTCTAACTTTTGTGTTTTTTTTTTATGTAATAAAAGATATTTATTATGCATTAAGGCTATAGCTATATATAGATTACGACTTGCTACAATTAATCCTATTATATTAGAAGACAACTATTAAAAGATAGAAGTGATTACTCATTTTATGCGTATGTGACGTCTGTCTTATGTTACTTTTTTTTATATCACAAAGACGTATTGCTTTCATTCTTCGTGTTTTAATAGTCGTTAACCAATAGCAAGTTAATTCATTCTTTTTATTCAGCTAACCGGTGAGGAAGATCAAATTGTCTGTCTTTATAAACTATATTTGGATCGATTGTTTAGTTTTATTTTTAGAACAAAGTATAATATTGAATAGAGTAAACAGAACTACACTAAGTCATATAGAAAGCTAATTTAAAATAAGCTTGTTGATGTTCATAGAGTTCGAATATATAACTCACTCGAAAACTATTCCTGGTCGCTTGTATAATTATTAGACAAGTTTTACATGTCTTTTAATTTTTTATTGTGAGATTTAATCTTTTGAATTTTTGGTTAGTTAATGATAACAGTTTATTGTGCACAAATATAGGTCTATATTTGCTATATCTGATGATGTACTTTGTTATAAGAGTAAGATTGAAGTCTATATCAGACTGAAGTGAACAAATATCATTAATTTAATCTATCATACTTCCTAGCATTTCTTTGACAGATTTATAAGCGAGTAATATTGTCGAAATTTTTAAACATGAAAAAGCTTATTTAAAATTGATTTACCATATGATTTTGTACAGTTTCATTCACCCTATTTAATACTATATTTTTTTTTGAGAATTAAACTGTATAATTGATTCGAATGTAGTTGATAAAAACCGGAAATTTAATGTATCACCCATTAATTAAAAACAAAATGAAGATTGAAATACAAATTGAATACTCACTAACGATGTTGTTTAGCATGATTACTTTCATGTAAGATGGTTAGAAGAAACGAAGTATAGTTACTCATAGATTTTGGGATAGTTTATTAACGATAATTCTGTATCAAAGAATTTTATATGTCATATTAAGAATATAAAGAATTACGAAACAATCAACAAAAACAGAGGACGTTGAGATAATGCTAATAGGAAACAATAACATTAAAAATGTTACTTTTCTGTATAAATTAATGTTCTACTATCGAATCGGGTGTCGTACATAAGATCATACCCAGCTCTGACCAGACAATAAATAAGATTTCGATGTTTCAAAATATTTTTACTTGTTCCACTTGCTAAAAGTATAGGAGTGAAAACCGATTTGATTATGATTGAACAATTTATTATACTTGAGAACAGATTAGAGAAGTGAAAAGTGATATTATATTACTACAAGAATTCGTTTTGAATGAAAATTCATTTACAGATAAGAATAAACCATATGACAAAGTGACTGAATACATAGAGAGAAAAAATGAATGATTAAAAAGATGAACCTGTATTATCGTGATGAAAAAAGAATTCATCTGTGGATTTCAGTGTTTGATATAGGCTAGATTTTAGTGACTTGATCCGACCTGAGTGAAACACTGATGTAAACACAATTATGACGTTTGACACCAACGCTTCGTGTGATTCTAGCGTCAAGAGCAACCAGCAAACATATACTTACCGACCCACGGAAAAATTTTTCAAGAAAAAACCGCAGTTTCATAAACCGCGAAAGTCAGACCTTTTATGCAGTTTTTGAAACCGGCGAAAACCGCGGTGAGAACCGAGAAAATCGCGGTCCGAGCTGAGTTTTTGCAGGTCTAACCGCGGTTTTCTCGGTTCTCATCGCGGTATTTGCAAACCGCGGTTTTCGCCGGGTTCCAAAAATCGCATAAAAGGTCTGACTTTCACGGTTTTTCAAAATGTGGAACAAAACCGCGGTTAACCTCAGATTACCGCGGTTTTTTTCGGAAGAATTTTTCCGTGGGTATACCATGTAGATTTTAATGAAAGTTCAACAATAAAATCGATGACCTAAAATAATAGTTGTTTTCTGTAAATAAGAAAAAAAAATTTTTTTAATATCAGTAATCATCTCTAGTTCCATAACTTTTTCTGAATATAATAAATATTCGAATTACGACTCATTGTCATAACTAATATTTTTATTAATTAAATAATATTTGAGCTGTATGATTTATTTTTACTGAAAATTAAGTAATCATACAAGAGATGTTAAAATAAAAATGAAATAAAATGATTACATATTGCTATAGACTAACAAAAAAAAATCGATTAATATTAAAAGTTATGCTGATAAATTTTCTTTCGTATTGGTAGGACAGGTTTGTTGTCTGGATAACTGTCTTAAGTCTCGTTGTTTCAGGCGTCTCTGTCGTAATTTTTCCCTTACATATTCATGTTTTGCATCGATATCTTCACTATTTGATCGTCGAGCAGGAGTAACATATGGATGAGGTGATGCATTTCTTTGTTCTGTTTTATTAGAAGATGTAGATGGAGTAGATAGATCTGTTTTTGTATCAGAATTAATAGTAGTTATTTCCGTAGTAGATCGTCGTCCATTATTAATCCGTCGTTTATAAACAATTCTAGTCTTTGATTCAATATTTTGACTATCATTTACATTTGCTTTAGATTTTTTATCATTTGCTGTTTGAAGAAGTAAACTTGAACATGTACTACCTGGTGTTGATAAATCAATAGCTTTATTACCATTATAATCACATTCGTCAATATTAACTTCATTTTTTAAAAGTATACGACATGTATTTATCATATTATATTTAACAGCTAACATTAATGGAGTACGTTGATTAGAATTTTTTGCATTGATATCACATCCTTTTTCAATTAGTTTATTTAATAAATTTGTATATTCATCATTTTGTTTTTTATAGCAAAACCAATGTAATAAAGTATTTCCACCATTAGTTACTAAAGAACTACATACAGCACCAATATTATCTAATAAATCAAACATAACTTCATCTCCATTTGTAATTGCATAATGAATACTAAATAAAATATAAAAATTTTATTGATAAAAAATAAAATAAAATACATACGCTCGCATATCTGAATGTCTTTCAACATAATTAATATTTGCTTTTTTTTCAATTAAGAACTTTGCCAATGGTAAATTTCTTTTTCTTACAGCTGTAAACAAAGGTGTTTCTTTGGCTAAATAATCTTGACCATCTACATCTTTATAAGTGTGTGGTGCAGGTTTATCTATATAAGCACCATATTCTAATAGAATTTTAGCTATTTCAAGTTTTTTTTGTGCTTTATGTGAATAATAATCTTCATATACTGTAGAAGCTACTAAAGCAAGTGGTGTTTGAAAAGTAATTAGATTTGATTGATCAGGTAGAGCACCTTGTTCAAGTAATAAACGAACAGTTAATGGTGATGCATATTTAATAGCTAGTAAAATGGCTGTATTACCATCACTATCGATTTGTTTATTAAGATAATCACGTTCAATATCCAAAATACGACAAATTCTATCAGTATTATCGGCTAATATAGCAGAACGAAATTCTGCTAAATGTGTTTTGAATAAGTACGACAATACTAATTTCGACATGTCGTTTGAAATATCTAAAAATTGCGAATAACAATGGATGAAAAGCAAAATAATGTCAAGTACGTATTGTATGAGTCAGACAAAACAAACGTATAGTTGTTTATCGTCTTCTCTTTTTTTTTTCTTCATTTCTCCTTAATTTCATATGTATACAAATAAAAAATGCGCCCATGTAGAACAGTTAATCGATATTATTATTCCGAATAGGTGAAACGAAAAATATAAAAACGATAACATTCTAATTATTTGTTTTTGATATTTATAAAAACATATATGAAAGATAAATTAAAGTTAAATGAAAATTTAACATCAATCAAAATAGATTCAAGATTATTTTTAATTGAACAACGAAAAAAAAATGAATAATAATAAAATGGGTTATAAATTTTAAATCAAATTTATTAGTTAATTATTTAGCGAAATCTTAATCAAATTCAATGTTCGTTACTAAAAATTAAATTTGTTCTAGATGAGTAATTTCAATAATTATATCGAACAGACAGACTTGATGTCTTTATTTTTTACCATGTTGTTTTTTTTCTGATGCAGAAGACTTTTCATATATATATAAATAAGGAAGAGTCTAGTCAATCGCAAAATTTACAAAAAAGAAGTGCCAACAAACATGAATATACTAGATATATCTGTAAGAATCATTAAAAGTAACCCTTGATCACATCATTTGGCTGTAGTCATGTCACGTGTGTACTCAGCTTTTATAACGCCTAGCCATATTAGGCGTCTTCGTTTAAGTAATTTATTTCGATGAGACACCCTCAGATGAATGTAAGCGAATTCAAGCATTTTACATCAAGAGAGAATTCCTTCATAAAGCAATATGAAATGAATACTTATATACATATATGTATATGTATAGAATCGTATATGTGAAATGATTGTTGAATTTAGAAATAAAATTACTAAAAGTAAAATCTGAAATATTCAATATAATTGAAACACATTAAAAGAATAGATTTCGAATGAGGAATGATAAAAAGAGTGATTCTCATCAATCAGTTTTCATGACAAGTATGTATCTATTTATGAGACTTGACTGCATCTTATTTATTTATATTCGAACTAATGTATGCGGCAAAATTAATTGCTGATCAGTATTTTGTTGACATCTCGATCAATTTTAATCGCTTAGACTCTTTTTTTTTCAAAAGATTCATCGTAGAATTCTTTAAGAAACCTTTCTAAATCTGCAGTTTTTTCTATTTTTTTTTTTTTCAAAAAGTATTACTATTCTTAAAGCATTGTGATTTTCTTTATGACATGTTTACATGTTATTGACACTACTTGTGAGCTACTAGCTATTATTGAGAATGGGTTAATCATGGCCATGTACTATCAACGTGTCATAACAAAAATCATAATGTTTTAAGGACAAAAACACTTAATTGAAGAAAAAATTAGAAAATGTTATCCATAATTTTATTGCTCAAAAACGTTGTATTCTACAAAGAATCAAAAATGTATTTTGTTGATTGAGTTATACTGTTTTGTGCAGAACTCTACAGTAAATCTTCTGATAAAAAAATAAAGCTTTAATAACTCAAATTAATCTAGATATGAACGACATAGTGATCGATCATTTATTCTACCGCATCCGCTAAAACACAACAATTAATACCATAGCATGTGAAGAAATCATCAGTAGCTATCAACGGATTCCAAGAATCGTGTCAAAGTCTAATCTTAACAGAACAAAAAAAAAGGTTTCATCATTCATCATTTTAACATAAAGTTCAACTAAAAAGAAATCCTATTGAAATTATTGAGAGAAAAACAAACCATCTCTATTTAACCTAGTATTTTACCTTGTATTTCAATCACAAGAAAAAGCACAAAAAAAAAATGCATATAAAGGTGTAATGTAACAAATGCTTAGACATCATTATATTTGATGTTTATTTAATTATTTCTTACTTGTTAATATCAACCATGACAACATGTATTTTTCTCATGCCTCTTGAATCACCTGTATCACTCCGTTTTATTTATAGAGCGGAAGAAGACTAGTCGAAATATTTGTAATCAAATAAAATGAGTCAATAGAAACAAATTTATGTTTTCAATAGAAACATTATCTTCGATTAGAGTAGCGTTAAGTTTCCAATAAAATCAGTGATATTTAATGAATAAGCATTTATTTCTCTTTTTTATTCCATTTATTTTTCTTTTTTGATTAGCACTAATTTATCTAAATTTTATTAAACAATTTAATAACTTATCTTAAGTCAATCAGACCAGAATTCTTAGAAATCTAATATTTTCTTTTATTAAAAATTATTTATTTTTGGAAACAAAGTTTTAAAAAATAATGATCACTAAACTCAAAAACCTTCCTAGTGAAGTAATAACTATTATAATAGAATATATTTCATTATCTAAGGATATATATCATGCATTTGCTGAACTTAGCCAACGATTTGATATGATTCTTGGATTTGTTCGTTTAAGTATTGATATTTTTTCGAGAAAATACACTAAACTTGATGGTAACACACTATTTTGCAATGAATTGTGATCATTTATGTTTATATAATATTTGTTCATCGATTAAATTCACTCAATTTTTACGATTACGTTCATTAACAATAATTGAACTAATTTGAATCACAACTTAACTAAATTCTATCAAGATCATTGACTAATACTTGCATATCTCGCTTTTTCTGCGATTATGGTTAACAAGTTTACTAAAGATAAAACCAATAATTTTCTTGATTATAACCGTATCTTTATTTAGATTATCATTGACTCTTTATTTGGTAAAGAACAGTAACGATAGAATTCTCTTCATTCTTGTAACTTTTTGCTTTCTCCTCTTCGAAATTTAAAAACAACATGGGTAAAAAAATCATAAACTTTCTTTTTTATCTGGTATTACATGCGTTCACAAACGATATTCAGTCAATTTCTGATGATATTTCGTATTTAATGAGTCCAAAGTTACTTTGCTTGTGTTTAGATATTTATCATAAAAGTATTTCGATTGATTTTGCTAATCTAGCTGCTTCACTTATATCAATACTAAGAACATTGAAACAATTTGATTGTGATTATCTACGATAAAATTTTAATATAAAAAAGAAAGTTAGAGCAATTCATCCTCTTTTTAGAAGTATGGAACTAGTTCGTGTGTATTCAAGCAATAATTTTAATCAGAAATTTTGGTTAGTTCTGAGAAAAATGTGTTATAAAATAAACGTAAGTAGACATTGTAAGCGACATTTTCTTGCTTGAATTCGTTTTTACATGTTGTGTTGATTTTCTAGTTGTTTGTTTAAATTGTAAAATTTCATTTTGTATCGAATTCTAACGTTTTCAATAGTTATCACACAGTAAAACAGGTAGTTCTCGGCTAACACACTGGTTTTCTTTATCCCATCCTTTCAGTGATCCTTACTGACCTTCATTTCCGGACTTGTGCTTATAGTCACTAAGGATTCGTGTCTCATTGTAAATTTGGTTCTCTATCGAATGATGACATTTCTATAGTGTTATTGAAGAAAAAAAAATAGTGTTTCGACAAAAATACTCGGTTTTTGACTTCTTCCTGTTTTAGTGTAGTTCATTTGCATCAATCTTGGTAATAAAAACAGTATAATAATAACATTTGGAGTCATTACTTTTATCATATCTGGATTTCAAAACTGATGTATCATTTCTTAATATACTAATGAAATTTTTTTTTTTAGTAAAATCTTAGGAAATTTACTCTTACGTATTTGTACTTGTATTCGAACAAGTCCTTACTTGTCCATGTCACCTTTTTTAAGTCGACTGCGTCGTAGTTACGCGTAAATACGACGCAGTTACCATAGTAAAACCTTCCGTTACTGTGATGCAGTTACGCGAAACTGCGTCGCAGTCTGCCTACCGTAAGATTCATCGTAATTAATATCAACCAATTCTAAGTGGCCCTTTCCTTTTTATAATTGGTTACACTCTAGCACAATAATTTAGTCGCAGAAAGACTAAAAAAGCCATTCTCTGTGAGAATTCTGTTGATAATTCATTCCGTCATGATGGACGAAATGTATTCCGATTGTAATTTTTTAATATTATTTTTGCTTTTCACAGTTTTTATTAGTTTTTAATTTTTATATTGTTCAGAATAAATTAAAATTTTTTAATCACTTTCTTTTGATTCTACATTTTTTTCCTTTAATTATTAAAATTTAAAATTTTTCAGAATTCGATTCTTTAAATTATTTTCTAAATTAAAAATTTTTTTTGATTTGTTTAGGACTTTTAATTTAAACAAAAATTAGTATTAATTTTTAAAATTTATTGAATTTTTGAAAACCTTTTTTAGGTTTTATTAAAATTAAATTTGAACAAAAAGTTTCTTTTTTGTTTAAAATTTTTTAAATTTTTTCATAAACGTCTATGTTTTTAATTTCGTTATTTTTTCCACTTCCTAATTTTTTATAATTCGTAATACAAACCGTCATAAAAATTTTACATGTATTGACTCTTTTTGGAACTACGACGCAGTTGCGCCGTAACTGCGATCACACTGTGACACCTAATTGCGAAAAAATATGACGCTGTTATGCGCAACTGTGATTTTTGTCATCATAGTTACGCACAACTGCGTCGCATTTTTTCGCAATTATCGGTCACAGTGCGATCGCAGTTACGGCGCAACTACGTCACAGTACAATCATAATCGAACACATGGATGCTCAGCTGCATGTTCATGTAAGATATATATATACAAAGTTCAGTAATAGAAGGATGTTTGATCAATAAATGATGTTGTATGCACGATGCAATCTTTCAACGACATTGTTTGATCACAGCAAGTCTTGTATAACCTGCCTACAGACATTTCACCACTGAAAACTAGATTCTAATCCATTTACTTCTACAGTTTCTATCTTTACAAAGAAAAATACGTTTTCTTCTTTGATTCGATTTTTAGTATACAAGTTTCTCGGAAAAATATATCAGTAAATTTTCTCATGAATTTTGTAGCTTCTCAATCGTATTCATTTCTTCAAACTATTGTGCGAAATTGTTTGATACGATAACAACTATCATTCGAGTTGATTAAGTGAAAAATTCGAAAACCAATTTCAATAGATGTGTAGAATGCAGACAAGATAACTGTATATTTTTTATTAATCTTAATAAATCGCGATGATTCACTAGATACGATGAGAAATGTCTACGAAATACTTAGTTTTGAGTCATTATAGAGATTAATCTTTGTAACGTTATGAGATGAACTATAAATCGGACGAAAAGTAGGAGTATTGCAGAATTTTTTTACCAAGCATATTGAGTATTTTATTCTTAAATTTCAAGATTAATTTAACAAATATTCTCACGTATCATTTATACGGAAAACTTCTACACTATATCATGATTAATAAAAAAAAAAGATAAATAAGGAATTTTCAATTAACATTACAAAGCATTCAGCCATTTGTCACAATAGTCACTAAATTCTGGTCGTGACGAACGTAATTCACTAACTAGACTATAGTTGATCATCATTTGATAAATATCAGCAACAGTCTTTTTCTTTTTCTCTAAATTTTCTAACAAGTATTTGAGTTTTGATGCTAATTTTTCATCACCATAAACTGAATAGTCTAATCTTTTAAAATAATCTCCAAGTATCATTATTGCACATAATTGTTGCAAAAATTTAAATATTAAATCACCACCAAATACTCCACATCCCCAATTTCCAGTAACAATAATTGCATCTTTTGATTTATCAAATGCTGCCCATGCTTTACCTAAATCTCTGTCAATAATATTTCGTGTAAATTGACCATTATAACATGCATCCATAACAAGAATATCTTGAATATATGTTGGATTTTGTTCATGATAATGACCTTTATAACGAAATGTATCTCCATAGCCAGTATAGTTAATAAAACGTTTACATCCACGAAGAATAACAATTTCATCATCTTGTAATGTTTCACATATAAGAATAGATAAAAATGCTTCTGGGCAACAGCTAACTAAAAAAGGAAAAAATAAATATATTAAATAATTAAAAGAAAATTCATTTACATAAAACTTCTTCTTGTGTAGCCGATGAAATAATTCTATGTATATGAATATGTTTATTAGCAAAATCAACAAAACCTTGTGCTTCATTAGCATCTTCCATTCTATCAGTAAATATATTCATTTTTGATGATTCTATTGAAATGTTTTGTTTACTCCAATCTGGTAATTCATTTTTATATGAATATCGTTCTATTGAAATTTGTCGATTATCATCATTTTGTTGTGATGATAGACGAAAATATTCAATTAAACATCGTATTCTTTCAACAGCTAAATTCTCAAATAATGAATTATATAAATTATTCAAATCAATATTTCCATATCCTGATATTGTATTAAGAAAAAAAGCATTTGCAAGAATATATCGTGCTTGTGCTGCTGTATATACAATAGTTGCTGTTGTATCTGCTTGAAGTGGTTCAATTAATTTTGATTGTGTATGATCGGAAGCCCATTTAGCTATTGTTGGAAGAAGATCATTATAAAAATCAAAATCTAATCGACGAATAGTTTGTTCAAGACAAGAAAAATCTCGATGTTCTTCTCTCTTGATGGAAAACAAACTAACCAATGTTTGAAAATTATTATTTTCATTTGATATATTAAATATACGTTGTTGATCTGCAATATATGTTGTGCTTGTCGACATGAATAGTTTCTAAAAACAATATTAAATGATAATCATATATACTCTATGAGTATATAAATATATATATATAGAGAGAAAGAGAGTTAAATGTATCTGACAGTCATATAAAACGTGACGATCACCATAGAAGCGTATACACACATTATCAGCAATGTTTATGAGATGAGTCATCCGAAGATAGAAATAACTTATTTTTTATATTAATGAAATATTGTGCAATTATTACATCATGAAGTAATAAAAGTAAAAACAAAATCCTAAAAATAATATTATTTAATATCATCATTGGAATCATAAGATTTCGAATTAATAATTTTATCTTTTGAAAAATGTTAAATATAACAGGTGGGCCAAAAAGAACTGCCCTCTCAGCATTTTTCAGATTTCCCCTCTATTATCTCTGTTTATCATCAAAAGATAGCACTTGAAATTCTCTACAAAACTAAACATACCCAGACCCCAAAAAGCAGTTTTGGATATATTTGAAAAAATTCGTATACAAAAGATATACACACCGCTGTAAAAAATAAATAATGAGTGTCCCATAATAAATGGCTACACTTTACATTTCATATTTTTATCTATAAACACATTGTATTAGAAAAACAAAATATACCACAAGACGCAGCGTGAAAAACTCTACAACCTACAAATTTAAGTGTTTTAATAAAAATATTTTTCGTTTTGAAAAAAAGAAAAAGTTCTGTGCGACTAGTTTTCGCTATTGTGAAAAAAAAAACATTTTTTTTTTACACCAACGAGAATTCTTTTTTCTTATTTTATCTTTTTATCTCGTAATATGTATTCTTTAAAAGAAACAAAATATACCAGAAGAGATGCAACTTGAAAAGCTCTACAGTTTACAAAGAACAGTTTATTTTATTTATTGTACTTTTTATGTTTAAAAAAGCTCCAAAATTTGTGCGATCGGTTTTCACAACGGCGAAAATTGGTCGCATAGAGTTTTGCTTTTTCTTGAAAACAAAAACTATATTATTAAAATAAACTTTAATTTGTAGGTTGTAGAACTCACAGAGATAATAGAGGAGAAAACTTAAAAATGCTGAGAGGGCAGTTCTTTTTGACCCACCCGTTACAATAATTTTTTATATGCCATTTCATAGTCAAAATTTTACAATTTTAACATATGCAGAGCGATGTATGCTTATTGGAGTAGAATAAACTAAAATCTGAGATAATTACTCATTGTAGTAGATGGATTTATAGGTAACATATGTAATGGTTCGAAAATTTATTTTTTTGCATCTTCAAATAGTTTTCGTTAATCTTTATTTTATTAATAGTTAAAGGAATATTTTATTCGTAAACTAAATTGAACACTAACTATGATCGAACTATCAAGCGCGAAGTGTTTATGAAATAAAATTCTAATTTTCTTAAAATTATAAAGGTTAACTATGGGCTTTTGTTTTTACTATTTCGCAGATATTGTCGATAATAAACTATATTTATTCTCGGAAGAAAATATCTTAAATTCGTACTAAAAAAGAAATTTCTATACTAAATACCTCATTACGAAAAGAATTTGAATGAAAAATCAATCGAATTAACTTCATTCAGATATCTATACAGTTGTCAATTTAGTGTTTTTGATTTATTAACATTACGAAAACATTGTGATTCATTCATATTTCACATTGCTGAAGAAACTAATCGAAGTGATTCACCGTTGTTAAATTCATATTTCTAATGTAAATGGGCGACATCCAGATTGGATTACTGGTGCACGAACTCGAGTGCATAACATATTGTTGTTAAGATCGGGTTGTTTGATTTAACATTTTCTTATTAGCAAAATAAATTCAGACACTATGATCTAATTGAAACTAGAATGTTGTAAAGGTTTTGACATGCATAAATATGTCTGTGTTGAGATATAGAATTTCAGAAAATCTCAAATATTATGAGCTTTCTTTTGATGATTAATTGAATTTTCTAAGTTTAATATTTCGAGATAGATATATTCATTTAGGATAAAACTTTTAAAAGATTTTAGTATCAATTAGATCGATCTATTGACAGTGCTTTAGATCAAACTTCTTGAATTCTTTTTTCGAAACAACCTTGTTAAAATCTGGCTAAATTGTAACTAGCACTGTCGATGGAATGTTTTCAACAGATAAAAAGCTTTTAAACTTAAATTTCAACATGCTATTTGCATTTGCCAATTAAAATCATCTAATTAATGAACAATAAAAAATTTTATTTTAAAGATCTCTATTCTGTTATCCTATATTCGGCATTGTATTGCATTCCTTTCTTTATTTACAATGATTAGTAGATGTTTTTGAGAAACACTCGCAATTTATTTATAATATTATTCGCTGTTTAAAATGTTGCACTTAGTATAAAATGAAATAAAATAAAAGTACCGCTCTTTGTTCGATTTTGTGTAAATACGCGAAGCGTATAAAGATTCCAAAGAAAAATTTTCAAAATCAATTTTATATTCGTTATCAGGCCATACAATTAGGGTTGATAAATATGTATTGATTCTTATCAATTTCCCATAGTGTTGATTTGAGTGTTAAATAGATTATCGGATCTTAGTCATATAATCTATTGTTTGATGTTAGTGATTTATTATTCATCCGAATAAATTCAGTAAGTTGATGTGACAAATGTTCTCGATCCCTTTTTGAAATAACATTATGAACGATCGATTGACTTTGTCTTGTAATTGATTTTAATTTTTTTTGAGTTGATTTAATTTTTTTAAGAATAGGTTTAGATAGATGATTGGGTGATTTTGAAGGCAAAAGTGAAGATAATCGACGATAGTGATGAGATGAAACAAGTACTCCTGGTGTTAAATCAATACAATGACTATTCATAGATGTAAAAATTGGAATATGATTCGATATAATCGGTGATAGTGTAGAATGATCTGATGGTAACAAATATTTAAAGAGATTTGAACTGTGAAGAGGAAATATTGAGCCTAATGAACGATAATTATTCAAAGATTCAATTACTATATCTGTTAAATAGAATAAATCCAATTTTAAATTAAATTAAATAGAAATACTTTTGATATACTGATAGCTGCATTGAGACACATTGGAATAACTTTTTCTAGTGCTGCATTAGTCATATCTAATGTAGGTCCACTATTAATTTCAAGTAACCAACAATTAAGTTTTTCATCAATTAAAATATCTACACCATAAAAACCAAAACATCCTTCACGTATTGATAGTTTATTTCTAACTGAATCAGCTACTTGATTGAGAATTTTTGTAATTTTTTCCTAAACAAAATAGATCATCCATTTTAACCGATGGTCAGATAGTTTTAGAGAAGATACTGATTTACTTGTGTCTTACTAGAAAATATTTCCAATGGAATCAAAAGCTCTCAGTTTGTGCTCTTTTAAACTCTGAACTGAGAAAATTTGCCTCAATTTTTCATCGAAAGTAGTTAAATAATATTTCAAAAGTTTAAAAAATTAGTTTGGGATAGAAAATGTTTGTAATGTCTCTATCACAATTGGAAATGAAAAGTTGGAATCTTTATTTATACAGTTTTCGTTTTTTTCCAAAAGTCATTTCTGAAAAATTGACAACAATTTTACATTGAAAAAAAATGCTGCTATTCTCATTTGGATACAAGCTATAGCTAAGTTCAATATCAAATTTTGTAGAAAAGTATTCACTGTACGAAACGACTCACTTCGACAATTTTATGGAATAATCTGAAATCTGTTGGCTCATTCTTCAAATCGTTCAAAAAGTCCCTCACTATTGGTGAATAAAATTAGACACAGCATTTTCTGATCGTGAACTATAGTGTGAAATGCTTTCAGACAGGATCAAAATGAACAAATATCTTATCTAAAAACTTTTCGATTATTCGACATGTGCTTACGGGTAATTCATTAAATACCCAATCTTTATTAATATAAGACATATTCGGTTGAATATATTTATTAAAATATTCATTAAATTCTTCCATTGTCATACCAGTATTATGTTTTACTGATGAAAAATCTTTATTTTTTATTTGAATACTTTGATTTGTTAAATGAATAAATTTATTCATATTTTCTAAATTATATTCATACATAGATAAACGAAGATATCCTGTTTGTGCAGCAAAACATAAAATTTGATTTGATATACAAATACATAATAAATATGTACGAATATCAAATTTATGTTTATTAATAAGTAATGGATTTTCAATATATTTTTGAACAAGACGATTATAATATAATGTATAATAATGATTATTACGAGTATTTTTATGATATTCATTCAAAATATTTTCAAGTTGTTGTTGATTACGAAAAATAAATATTTCTCGTCCACATGAAAGTCCTACAGGTTTACAAATCCATGTTGAACCTTCTTTAAATTTTTTCATAAAACTAATTCGATCATTTACATTATCAAGTAGATATGTTTCAGGTAGAAATGTTTTTAACAATAGATAATTATCATTATTTGATAATGATATTCCATTAACACGATTATTTTTTAATACAATCATTTCATAATCTCTTAAATTAGTTAATAATAAACCTTTATTCGATAATTGTCTTTCATTATAAATATGATTAAGAATTTGAAAGTTTGAATCATATGTTTTCCAATCAATATCAACATTACGTGTTATCCAATTGAATTTTACACCACCAATAGGCAAAGAATCGTAACGATTGAAACCAAGAAGATCTAATTGATTTCGAACAAGTTGAGAATTATTTTTACCTAATACATAATATCCATTTATTTTAGCATTGATAAGATGATCAATATTATTTTTAATTGATGTATTCGTAATCGTCATCTTCTTCGAAGTAAAACAAAAATTAAAAAAAAGATTAAAACAACAATTTTTTAAATAACAGAAAATAAGAAATAATGTTCTTGGATACCGATCATTTTCAAATAATCTTGATATTTGCATTTCATACAGAAGAGAATATATACATTAAATCTTCAAATATTTCATTGAACTATTTTTCAAAATATATTTTCATGTGATTTAAATTGAATTTATCCGAAGTAAAGCAACTCTGATCAATTCTAAAATAAGATTTTGCATCATTCTATGCTGATATTGATGTTCATAAGTCAGCTGTTTTGATTTTGATTAGAACTTATATGTTAAATGAAAACTCAGTTCTTATACTATTACACAAGCCATCATTACAAGCATAACATGATGATATTTTCCTATTAAATCATGTAAAATTATCAACTATAGAATACTTTCCAAAAATTCAACAAAATTGATATAAATGAAACTAAAAGTTCTAAGAATTACTAAAAAATATTTTTTGCTGGTTGGTCAATATACAATATCATTAATGAGAAAGAATAGAAATTAGATCATTATCAAGTTTTTATTTTTAAAGAACCACGCAGAAGTTGTGAACAGATCGATCTGTCTTTATCGGTTGAAAAATAATTTATAGATATGTCATTTTTTTCTGATACAACTTGTTAAAACAAGTCAAAGTGCTATTTTCATAATAATTAATGTGTTGTTTCATTTCTGTAATCGAAGTATATTCTCTTGTTTAAAATATACAATCAAAACTGTGTTACTCAAGTTAAATTTATCTCATATATGTCTTTTCAAACAGGAGTATTAGTCTTGTCTGTAAAAGTTGAATGAGAAAAGTCAATATTTAGAATTTGACAATCAGTCGATAGGTAAATAACTCTTTTTTTGTCGCACTCTACATAGATATGTCACATATTCATTTTTGAGAAATCAAACAATTATAAACGACTAGAACATGATATTGCTTCTCACAAATTTTTAAAAATTTGAGCGAAAAAAAACGGAAAATGAATATTTTTCGAAGTTATTCTAATTGACCAATCAATAATGAGTCAAAAAACTGACCACGCTGACCCGACTCAAAAATTCTCGATCGATTACGATCTTGATCCACAGTTATTATTTCATTCAAAACTTGTTTTTTTTTTCCTTTTTCAACATATTTCTACAGTTCATGAAATTAAATGTTAGAACAATAGAGAAAATTAATCTGTTTCAAATGAACTTCAATTAATGAATTCAACTATTTTTTTTTTGTTCTTTAGTGTTGACGTAACAATTCAAAATCTATTGATCATTTTCATCTCATTTTTTTTTTAATAAAAAAATCCAGGCATACCTGCATCATTAAAATATGCTTTCAAATATCAAGAAAAAAAACGTGACTTATTACAAATGTAAAGAGATTTTATTGTGGTACCCTTGATATGTATTGCATCTCTTGTAAAATTGTCAGGCGTTCTTCATAAATGTTTACACGTGGTAATGAGTTGACTAAGTTTTAGTAAACATATTTTCGTATGAATTAGAAATTGTTCAATATAATACAATCAACCTTGATAATAAGATTTAAAATATAAAATAAGAATATTCAATAATTGAAAAATTTATGTAATGTCCTTTGATTGGAACGAAAAAAAAACCATATTAAGAAAAAGAAACGTTCATAATAATATTTCATAAATTAATTTTAATAATCTATCTTGGAAAATTATTAATAATATTAGTATAATATATTATTCTATATAGATGTAAATAAAGATGACATTGAACTTTTTTGTATTTTTGGCAAAATAGTCAACGCCAGACATAACTTAATTGTCTACAAAAACTGATGGTATGCTTATTATTTGAAACTTTTTTTTTGGCGATGATCATTGTTGGGTTGAATCAATTTATCAATTTTTGAACTCGAACTTTCTTAAAAAATTACTATTCAAACGAACGATGCACAACAACGAAATTAAAATCATTTTGAATTATCATAGTCACAGGCTTTCTTGATTCATTACTTATTTCATGCAGATGATGCAAGTCTACTAACGTCATTTTAACATTTCCTATTTATTTTATTGTATTCCTTTTTCTCTCCCATTGAGTGATTAAATGATAGGCACGTTCGTTCAAATATGAACGTGCAGTATTTTTTTTTCCAGCGTATATCATTGTATCCTGAGTACTATACACCATATGGAAGAGGAGAAATTTTATGAATACTAAAGGTCGAATACAATTGTTCTTTCACATCTAATAGGGTCATTATTGTCGAACAATTTTTTTTTTGGCCACGATTTGATCGTCACAACTGGTTGTAGAATAAGAAAACAAATGAGTTATGAAATTCTCTCCTAGAGGGAAAAGAAAAATCATTATTCTGAATTGTATAGAAAGTTATAATTTTCAATGTATTTAACATTTATACTTTTCTCATCATTTAATTGAATTGTTTTAATGTAGAACTGAATATAAATTACATAGAGTTTTGTTTTTATGTTTAATAATCATTCGTTTTACCTAAAAAATTTTTGATTTACTTCACATGTGTAAATAATTAGAGTAATTAATGTAGAATCTGTCATCAATCAAAAGATACATTACTGTTTTCGATTTAATATTGTCAAGATCAAATCCATATTAATTAGAATAGTCGATTGTAAGCTAAATATGTGTAACAGATGATATTTCAAGAATGAGTCATTTTATTTGATTATAAATTTCACAAACCAAAATATGATGTAAAAATAATTAGACAATTGTCAAACCCTATCTCTCTTCAAAAGAAAGGTATTGAACAAAATTCTTTTTTTTACTAAAAGGTAGAATATTTTCTTCTCTTTCGAATCGTATATAACTTATTTTCATATTACTTTCATAAAAGGAAAGGACACAACAGACAAGAAAGGCACTCTTAAAAAAAAGCATCTGAATTTTTTTTATATAAAAGAACTTATAATATGTCAATCCTTATATCTTTTCGATAAATAGGCTTTGAAAAGAATATTTTTTTTTTATCAGTTGATAAGAAATATTCTTCTCTTTTGAACACTATATGACTCATATTTGCCACATATTAGTAAGTAAAACGAGACGAAGGAAAAAGAGAAATATGTGCGCAATAAATTTATTATTTTAAAATTAAATTCATTAAAAATATCTTATAAACAATAGGTGATGACAACTAATTGTCGTTTTACAAGACCTCTTTAACGAGTTCATAGAAATCGAAGTAACCATTGTTTAACACGATCTTTTTAATGAGTCCACAAATATTGCATTAATTATCGTCTAATAAGATATATTTGAGAAATTCATATACAAGTTATAAATTTATTTATTACGTAAATGCTTTTTCTTTTCTTCTTATCTCATTTTCTTCTACGAATGTAGGAAGAATATAAATCATATATTGTTCGAAAGAGAAGAAAATTTTCTATTAACTGATTAAAAAAAATATTTCATTTCAAAACGTGTTTATCGAAGAGTGATAGGAAACAACATTTTGCGCTGTTTTTTTTTTTTTGAATCTCAAGAAAAGTGAGGATACTTTTTAAAAATGCTTCTCTTTTCTGTTGCTATATTTTTTTGTTAATGAATGCATGATAAAAATAAATTATAAATGATTCAAAAGAGAAGAAAGAGCTCTATGTTTTAGTAAAAACATTTTTCCTTCAGTACCTTTTTATTGAAGAGGCATAAAGTCCGACGTTAGTTCTATCACTTTTACATCATACAGTATATGAAAATAAAATTGATCAAATTTTGTATTGCTAATTGAATAGGATCTATGAACATCCACTAAAACATAGATGACATATCGATATTGTTCAATTTTGTGTCAATCCTTTCTTCGTTTAGTTCTGTCAATGATTTCATATAGATACTATCTTGTTTGATGGTCTGCTTGCACCATTGAAATGAATAGGATATTGTTTTATGGTGTAAACCAAAGATTAATGCATGGCACTGATTCTCTAACGTTGATTTCGAAATGTTCACATCATAGATATTTCACTGTTGATTCCTTTATGGTGAGCAAGTTGATAATTATTGACAAAACTTGTTGAACATCATAGACTAGCTAACGATGAACTGAGTTATTTTAATGACGCCAAATATCGTCGAATCAATTAGAAATCATGAAAGTTTGAATGCATGTATAAAAATAGAATCAGAAGATAAACACTGCTAGGGCTGTAATGAAAAGCCTACGAAAAAGTGCTTACAATTAATAAGACTTCGCACCGCATTAATAATGACATTTCTAGATACTTCAATGTCTATGAAATGAATTTATAGACAGGAGGAAATCTGTTACCTCTATCAAGACTAAATTCTTCTTTTGCCCAACAAAATAATGAAACGCACCATGAGTTAGAATGAGTTAATTTTCATTTTTAATCAGTTCTGTTGATCTTTGAAAGATTGATATTGGCATATGTAGTTCCAGAACGACAAACACCTACATATGTCTCTCATCGCGATACTGTTAAATGAGTTCATTATAATCATTTTCATATCTCAATTGATAAATCTATTAGATTTAAATTAAGTTATCAAAAAGAAAAAAAGTTTAAGTGAAATTGATGGATCGCTATTTTTCTTGTTGATATATCATATCTATCAGGAGTTCAGGTAAACGAAGTGAACAATATAAATAAAAAGATGATCACCTTGGAAGAATGACGTTATGGTTAAGGTATTTGGTTCTCGAATATTAACGTCATGTTTGAGCATTTCATTTCAATAGAACTATGTTTACATGATCTTGTTTTGTTCTACATATTTGAATCTACTCTTTCGTCGATAATCTATGCATTCTGTTCGCTTACCAAAGTTGTTCGAATATTCAAACCGTCGTTCATGACTACCATTATCTTTGCTCATCCTTTTATATTCTTTATGTTTGTACTTAGCTTTAATTGCTTTTCTTGTCAAGTGACTTGTTATCAGCATTATGCTCTTTTAGGTCCTATCATTAGCAGAATAGTTGAGTCAAT